GGTGGTGAAGACATGATAGCTTTTGTCTTAGTGAGCAGGCTTCAAGTAGTTGACAAGTATGTTGAAGGTAGAAGCAACAGGATCTGCTGAAAGAACAGATGTGAGATATAAGAGAAAGGCAGCCAAGAATGCTTGGGTTTGGAACTTGAGCAACTAGAAAAATGGAGTCGGCCTTTAATGAACTGGAGAAGACTACATTAGGACCAGGTGTGAGAAAGAAGGCCCGGACCAGAGACTTAGGCATGTAAAGGTTGAGATGCATTTAAGTGGAGATGTCAAGTAGCCTATAGGCTATATGGATCTGGAGTTTTGGGGAGAGGTTGGGGCTAATGATACAAATTTGAGAGTTGTCAGAATATAGATGGTATTTAAAGCCATGAGACTAGATGAGCTAACTATAGAAGTACATATTGATGGAAAAAGGAAGTCACACAGGGCTAACTCCTGGGGTACTTCAACATACACAAGTAAGAAATGATTAGATCTACAGTATGAGAAGAAAGGAGTTAGAAATAACTTATAGGCTTTGAGTTAGCAATTGTAAGGCATTATCTTCCAAATAAAAAACAAAACAGTAAAGAGACCTGGTTTAAGAGAAAATGATAAATTTAGTCTTGAGAAGTAGGTTTTAAAACCTACTCAGTTATATTCAGTTATATTTTCTTAATAGGCAGTTGGAAATGCGTATCTGGCTTTCGGAAATGAGTTAGTAACCAGCGCTATAACTCGGGATTCCTTCCCACAGGAGAGAGAATTGGAACCATGAAAGGAATTTAAGTTACCAAGGAAATCAGAAAAAAATTCATGTAGCCTACCAAGCCTAAGTAATATCTACATTTCAGGGTATGAGAGAAGGAAGAGGATCTGTAAAGATAATTAAGAAGCGTGGGAAGAGAACCAAGATAGTGCTATATCATAGATGAAAAAGGGTCCGTATGATGGCAAATATAGCATGAAGTAAAGATGATGAAGCCTGAGAAAAAGTCACAGTGGGAGAGAATAAATGGTAAAGCTGAGTCCCAAAGAAGCTAAATGACTAATCCAAAAATAAAACAGTCACAACAGAACTAGAATTTGAACCTGGATCCTCCTGTATTTGTGTGTATATATACATATATACACACGCACACATATGTATATCACATATATAACAAATGTATACACTAAAGCAATCTCATTCAAGTAATTATGATACTACAAATATAAAGATAATCCCAAATCCTTGTTTATTTTTTTAGAGACAAAGTCTCATTCCTTTGCCCAGGCTGGAGCACAGTAGCCTTATCATTGCTCACTGCAGCCTTGAACTCCTGAGCTCAGGTATCCTCACACCTCAGCCTCCTGAGTAGCTAGGACTACAGGTGTGCAC